GGCTCTGGTGGGCCTGGGCACTGGCACGCAAGCTCGCTCACATGCAGGACAGGTGAACCCTAGGCACGTGAGGATGCTTGCTGGGTCCCGGAGCCCTTGGCCCAGAAACGCCAGGGTCTCCTGAGCCCCTGGGCTTGTCCAGCCCCTTCCCTGGGCTGTGCTTCAACTAGACACAGGTCTGGAGGAGAAAAGAGGTTGTGCTCTATTCTGTGACCTTGGCTATTACTGCAGCCCTGGGACCCTCGCTCCCTGCTGGTGGTGTTCATGTGGCCAGCAGCCAGGAACATTCCTGGGTGCCCTGCAGATGGCTGGGAGGAACAAGATAGGCTTGGGACTCATTCCCAAGGGTGGGACTGTGTGAATGCCTGGGACGCACGGGACCCCCAGTCTGCTTCAACCACCTGTGAGACCTGGGGCAAGTCACTTAGCTCTCTGAGCCTCGATCTTCCCACCTGTAAGACAGGAACACTGGAGCCCACTAAAGGGTTGTATTCATTCATTCATTCATTCATTCACTCAAAATATGTTGACTGTCTACCATGCATTCATTCATTCATTCATTCACTCATTCACTCAATATATGTCGACTGTCTACCATGTACGCACCAGGCGACCCTCTGAGCATTTCACACATATTAACTCATTAAACCTTATAAATGGCAGTCATCACCCCCCACTTTACAGGTGAGGAAACTGAGGCACAGAGCACTCTGGTAACTTATGCAGAGTCCCATGGGGGGCAAGTGGCAAACCAGTGGTCTGAGCTCAGGCCACCTGACCCGAGTCCGCACTCTCACCCCTCCCCGGTAGAGATGGTGCGGCCAATGTGGGAATGTGCCTGGGGCTTGAGGGACTCTGCGTACACTGGCCTGGACTCCTTACTGGTCACAGAATCCTGGCCACTGCTTCCTCAGGGCACAGTGCCAGCTCCACACCCGCTATGGCCCTCAGCAACTCCAGGGGCCGGTTGTGTCATTTCTACTTTAGAGGCCAGGAATCCTGAGCAGAAAGGGGTGGAGGGACTGGGCACAGCCTAGGGGCTGAGGGGAGCCGGGGACAACCCCTCCCCCGGGACAGATGGGTCTCATGGCCTGAGAGTGGTGCCAAGAGCCTGGGACTTGACCAATCGGGCCTGGACCTCCCCCAGGGCTAAGGGTAGGGAACTTCAGCGACATCAAGGGTTAGAACTGACCAGCCTGGGCAGCCCATGGCAGCGAGGTGGGGATCTGGGCAACGTGGCAGGCCTCCTGCAGACACACCCTGGAGCATCAGCCAACCTTCTCTGGCAAGGCGAACGCGGCCGCGGCCCTTCCACATGCTCGCAGAGCCCGCAAATCCATCTGCAAAGAATAGTGAGACACAGTGAGGTGGGGCGGGGCGCAGTCCAAGGCCTGGGGCTCATTGGTTCACTGTTTAGTTCACTCCCTCAGCCCCTCAGGGAACATATTTGGCAGAAGGGAGGAGTTAGGTGCAACCCTGCCCTGGGGGAACACTCAGCCTGCCAGGAGGAGACCATTTAAAAGAGACAAGGAGGATATACTAGATGACAGCTGAAATGGAGCAGAGGCCGGCAGAATCAGGAAAAGGTGGCTTCCCAGGGGAGGTGGCACTTGATGGAGGACCAGATGGACCTCCATAGGTGCCATGGGGGCCTGCAGGCCTCCGCTCCCCAGTGCCCAGCTCAGTGCCTGGCCCATGGTAGGCACACAGGAAACCGACTCATTCTCTCATTCACTCGCTCACTCAGTGACTCACTCGGCGGCCAGAGGGACACTGAAAACGCAAGTCAGGCCACATCATGCCTCTGCTCTGGCCGCCTGATGGGGAAGGTCAGCCGGGTCCTACGTGTCCCCCGACCCCTGACTTCATGCCCCACTTCTCTCGCCATCATCTGCCCGGGCCGCCCCTGACCGCCTCGCACTTTCTCCAACCCCTCCCCCCCAAGCTGTCACCCCAGGGCCTTCGCCCCTGCTGTGGCACCCGCTCGGAACACGTTCCACGGAGCTTCAGGTAGCTCCCTCGCCTCCCTCTCACCTTCATTCAAAAACCAGCTTCTCGTGGGGCCGTCGTTAGGTGCCCCTAACATTTCAACTCCCCCCTTACTACTCCACAGCCTCCTGCTTGAGTCCGTTCGCCCCTGTTCTTATTCTAATATACTGTACATTTTTGTACTTGTTTATGCTGGTTACTTATTGGAACGTGACCCTATGGGAACAGGTATATTGTTGTGTTTTGCATGTTTTGTGCAGCACGTAGAATTGTGCCTGCCTCTTTCTTCGTGTGTGGTCCGTAAACGCTGAGGGAGTGAGCGTGTGACTGTGTATGCGAGTGAATGAGTGAGGGGCATGGGACCGAATGAAGGAGTGACCGAGTCAGGGAGTCAGCGAATGGATGAGTGACCAAATGAGTGAGGAGATTGGGGATAAGAGGCTGGGTGAGCTGCCCATGATGCCCCAGCCAGTCCCAGGTGGCAGAACCCTGGTGTGAACCAAGAACCTTGTGTTCCCCGCCCCGGGGAAAGAGGATATTCTGGTCCTGAGTATTTTTAACCCAATGTGAACCATATGGGGGCATGGACAGATAATTGGATGGAATGAGGGTCTCGGTGGCGCTGGGATGATCTGGCTCTGCCGCGGTGTGGGTGGGGGGCAGGTCTGGACCCGTTGGGGAGCCAGGATGTACCACTTGAGCCACGCCTGCCACAGATGAGGGTGCCAGACGCAAGCAACACCGTATTTGGTGTCGGAGCCCAAGACCCAGGAATAGAAACTGCATACGGGGCCAAGTTGGCCACAGCCCAATATGTATGTGACCTCAGGCCCAAAGCATGCTCCTGGCCCCCTGGAGGGGCCTTGCTGCTGGGCCCAAGTCCTGGCCCTTGTCAGACAAGCCTGGCACATCTCAGTGGCCGTCTGTCTCCTCCTACCTCCTACCTCCCAGCCTCCCACTTCCAGCCCTGCCCTGGGAAGGCATTTCCAGTCAGCACTTTAACTGTGGTCACATCCCTGCCCTAAGCCCTCTGTGGCTCCCCACTGTCAGGACCCCCCAGGACCCATCTCAGGCAGGAAGTGAGAGTGAGAAGCGCACGGATGGTGGGGACAGAGGGCCAGGACCTGACCAGACCTTTGCTGGCCTTGGCCTCTTCAGGTCCCACCTCGGGAGCACTGGCATCAGGGGACCAGGTTCCAGTGCCTAAAAAAGGCTCCCCGACCTGGCGTCGGCCACCCCTTCGTGGACAGTATCAACTTCTGCCCCTGCAGTGGGGGGCGCTCCACCTCTGACCCTCTCTGGGCTCCCGCGTCCAGCCCAGCTCAGCCCAGCGCTGGCTGACCAACCCAAACAAAACAGTCACAGAGATGGTCAGACCCGGTCCACCCTGGACCCCACCGCCATGCTGGGTGCTGACAGAGTGGTCCCCAGAACGCCAGAGCTGGGCCCTTGGAGATTCCAATGTTTCGATGGGACACAAAGGCCCAAAGAGAGAAAGGGACTCAGCCAAGGTCCAAGAGCCGCAGAGCGGGGAGGCAGCTCAGGAACTTCAGCCTCTGGCTGGGGGTAGCTCAGGGAGCCCCCCACCCATCCCATCCCTCTGCAGAACTGTCCCATCCTCTAGAGGTCTTCCCAGAGGTGATACGGAGGACCGACATCTCAGAAGTCTTGACCCAGAAAACCGTGCAGATAGGAAGGGACCTGACTCTGAACAGCTTCCTGTATTCGTTTCCTGCGGCTGAAACTTTGGAGCTTAAGACAGATGCCTCTTTTCTCACAGCTCTGGAGAGCAGAAGCCTGAAGTCAAAGTGCCGGCTGGGCCCGCTCCCTCCCGGGCTCTCAGGGAGAATCTGTTCATTGCCTCTTCCAGCTTCCAGTAGCTCTAGGCTCCTGGGCTTGTGGCCACATTCGTCCAATCTCTGCCTCCCTCTTCACCTGTCCTCCTATACGTGTCCATGCCTCCCCTCCTCTGTCTCTTATGAGACTTGTCATCGAATACATGGCCTGCCCGGGTAATCCAAGATCGTTTCCTTATTTCAAGATCTTTAACTTAATAACATCGACAAAGATCCTTTTTCCAAATGAGGTCACGTGCGTAGGTCTGGGGGTCAGGATAGGACGTATCTTGGTGCCACTATTCAACTCACCGAACCTTCACCCCCAGAAGTCTTCTATGTCTGTTGTGGAGCCTCAGAGCCACTTGTGAAGAAGAAAGCTCTGTTCTCAAGTCACAGATAAGGACACTGAGGCTTGGGGCAGGAGTGTCCCAAGAGTCACGAAACGGGTTGAAATGGAGTCATGGTTAGAACCTAGGATCTGACTCGAGCCTGAGGTTTGCCGCCTCGCCCTCTGTGCACAGATGTCTTGGAGTCTTGGCTTCAAGGTCCCCTCTGCAGAGAGGCGTTCCCTGGCCATCGGCACGAGTGGCCACCCATGACTCCCATCGCTCTCGGTCATATTACCCAGAGTGCCCTTCAGGGCCCCAGTCACGGGCCCATCCCAGAAAGTGGGCTGTGACTTGGGAGAGCAATGTGCAGGGTCTGGGGAGTGCCCGGGTCCCTTGAGGGTGAGAGATGCAGGAACTGACGGAGGGAGACGGTGAGGAAGTCCCATCAGAGGCCTCCATCAGCCCCACGGGAGCCCGGGAGCCGGCACAGCCTTCGGAAACGTCCATTCCAAAGGAGCACGCGTGCCTGTCCCCACACTGCACACGGCTGTCCTCAGGGTGGGGGGGGTGTGACCTTGGCGGGGGCCTCCCTCTGGGCAGGGACGATTCTCTCTAGGGAACGGTGCTTCTCCCCCCGACCCCAGGGAAATAAATCTCACCCCCAAGCGGCACCAGCGCCCCTGCCAGGAAGAGGACGGCTGGATCCATTACGTCCTGAGATATTTGGGGCTGGAGACAGTGGAGGACAGAGGAGGCAGCGGAGTCCACTGCATTCTTCTGCTCAGTGAGAAACCATGTGACAGGGGCAGGAGGCCCTGGTCTAGTGACGAGTGGGGTCGGTGTGTCATCTTACTTCAGCCTGACCTCCAGTGAGGGGCCAGGTGTTATTTCAGCTGATCCTAGCCCCTGCTCCCCGACGTAACTTTCTGCAAAGTTCAGTGACTTGTCCACAGGGCCACAGCTAGGGGCTCGTGTGTGCTTCCAGGTCTACTTGATCTGGCCCCTGACTTGCTATGTGGCCTCAGGCAAGTCACCTTCCTTTTCAGGGCCTCGGATTCCTTCTGCACAATGGGGAGGAGAACAGGATGAGCCACAGGCTCTCACCACAGGGCCACAGGGCAGATGCTAATCAACTTTCTCGAAAAGTCAACATCTGAGCAGATACCCAAAGCTCGTAGAAGCTCAAGGTACCTGGGAACGGAGGTTGCCAGGCCAGGAAACGGCATGGCCTATAGGATTCAACCCCAGGTCCCTCCTGACAGCTTCTGAACCTGCCACTAATTGGCTCTGTGACCTCGGGCCTGTACCTGCATCATAGCTTCTTCGTCCATAAAATTGAAGGGAGTGGGCTCTTTGGTCTTAGAACTCAGACTCTTCTTGGTGTGAAAAATCAATATCTAGAGCTTTGAAACCCTGCTTGAAGGGCCCGCTGTCCAACCCCCACCAATCTTTCAGGGCATAAACAAATATATTATTTCTACTCAAGAAGTAAGAGTGACAGTTATTAGAAGGTGATGATCCTTGTAAAAAATGGCTGTATTCAGAGCAGAGGTTACAAAATATTCCTCCCCAAAACCCCGGAGCCAGAAATCGAGCAGGCAGTGTCTTGTCCCCTGGGGAATATTACAAACAGAAAAATTCGAGAGGCAAAGACTTCTTTTTCCAGTAAAAATAAGGCAGTAATAAGGAATAAGGCAGATTCTTGGTTCAGAATCTTATTACCTCTTCTACCAAGCAACAGTGGAAAGACAGAAGAAACCACAAGCTATAGCTTTAGGCAAACTAGGGGCAAGAAAAACCCATAAACTCCAAGTCACATGTAAGTGTGGCCCAAAGCAGCTGCGGCAGTGGGGTGGACAGGAACGGGGTGCGGGGGGGGCCCATCTGAATTAAGGGGGGGGCTCACAGCTGGAGGCAGGTTGCCTCTTGAACCAGGTTGGATTCTCAGAGGCAAAAGAGAAGTGAATCCAGCGAAGGGCCATATTTAAAAGGAACAAGAGGTCACAGAGCCAATTAGTGGCAGAGAAGGGAGCTTTTCATCAGAGAAACCTAGAGAACTACCCTGGCCTCTCCCCATTTGGACCAAAACCTCCTGTTAATGATGGGTCCGGGAAGATTCGACCAATTCAAATACAGAAACAAATTTTATTACAGGAGTAAACACACAGATGCTACAAGAAGGAA